GGTGACCATATTGGGTGTTACTGCAGTAGCCATTTAAATCAAGTGAAACTGGAAGTTCCTTTATTACTTTCGTTTAAATATATATATATATATAAAAAATATATATATATTCAAACGAAGTGAACATATGTACAATAAATATATATAATGAAACTACGTACTGGCATAAATAATATGGGTATTGAACCAAAATGTAGCTTTACTCTTTGTGTACTAAGAAAAACATTTTTATTCAAAGTGCTCGCTACATATAGTTGTATATTTGTTGGGAATCCAGTCTTCTCTATTTATCATTTTTAACCAATTTTGCTTAACCTCAGTAGTTTTTGGAAATCTGAAACATTATAAGAGTATAATTTATCTCACTAAAGTATTTACTATAATGCCAAAAATTAAATATTGTAAATTTAAAAAACTAAGTCAAAAGAGGCTGTAGCCAAAGATATGCCTTTGCCTGTTATAAACAAATTATCGATAAGATCAAGATAAGAAGAGAAACAGAAGTGTCAATCTCGACAAAAATAAGATTTGAAATAGTTGCGGGAATTCACGTATTTGTTAAAATGTTTATCATAATTCTTACGCATTTAGAGCATTTTCGTAATAAAATGCGATATTTTTCCCTATTCATTTGTGTACAAAACATTTGTACCAATTCTAAAATATTGCATTTAGAGTGCTAAACATTTTAATTGTACTTACGTGTGAAATGCTTAATTTTGTGGAGTTTCTTTTCTCGATGAACTGCATTCAGGTACCGTACACGCATCATATTTAATTACACCTTTTAAAAACATTAATACTTTGAAATCCACGATACCGAGAAAATAAGCGGGATTTGTTTCGTTAACGATTGACGATAGCCCGATATAGGTCTATAGCGTGTACATGTATGGTCTAGCCATTCTATCTCGTTCTAACGTAAGATATGCTATGTGCCCTTTCTCTTTTAGGTTGCCAATCTAACTTATGTATATACTAAATCTATGGTCACACTGGTGGTCATCTTTGGTCCCTTTATACTATAATGCCTGCAGTGCACTATTCACAAAGTTGAACGAAGTTGGGCAAAGACGAGTTTATACAGGGATACTTCGCTTCACTTCGGGCAACCTCAGCCTCGCCTCGGGTGATTTCCGATCGTTGCCGGTTTTTCCGCCTGAGTCAAAGGACTGAAGTTTCGAGCACGAAATGACCCTGTACATTACCCGGCTTACTTCTATAAAGTTAACGTTGTGCTGTCCCGTAAGCTCTGACAGCGCGCGACATGTTATACTCCCGTTCGCTCGTGACCTTAATGGCGGGAAAATTTGTAAGTTAGAAAATTTTTTGCTATATTGCAAATTTTGCTATATTTTCACTTTGAGACAATATTTATGGATAAAACTTACAGGAATTCTTGTTGAATGTATAAACTATCGAATAAAATTATTTTTGGTTGCTAGAAATTGTAATAAAATACATAAATTACCCTGTATAGCATAGTAGTAGTATATACTTCAATTTTAGTTACAAAATTACTACTAATTTGAATTCTACACTTTTGTTTTTGGAGAAATTTATATGAAAATGTTTGGAAATATGTATATTTTTATGTTTTATGTGTTTCTATTCGTTACTCATACCAAAATATTAAAATATTAAAAAATTTAAAAAAAAATAATAATATTTTATCTGTATGATATTTCGAACAATATTTCAAAAATATTTTTGTGTGAATTTGAAATAAATACAACGTCAAGTTATTTGAAATATGTAAGAAAACTATTTTTACTTACATTTTACACTAAAAATAAATGAGAATTTGAAAAATAACACATTTATGACCCAACCGCCAAAATGGGCCTTCCGGATTTTGAAGTACTTTTGGCAATTTACTTTTCACTTTTTATACCACAAATTATATATCTACGCGTTTACTATATTACAAGGAATATAAGAAAGTATAATACTTTCGTTTTTAGTCCAGACACAAAATACAAAATTCTATAAAAAAAGACGGAGCACCTTCATCAAAGCGACACGTGGAACGCCGAAAGTTCAGAGTGATTTTTTTTTCCTAAGAAACATTGCCAGGTTATGGTTTAAAATAAAAGAGCATATCTTTGTCTTTGATACTATTATCTATTGCATATTGTCTTTGGTTTTGTTTAAAACGAAAAAATAGTTTAAAAAAAATAGTTCATAGGGCAGTACTTCTGATCTAATCCGACCCGTACTAGAGCCGACGTAAGGTAGGTATTGTATGATTTGATCAGACCCGTAGCCGAGTGAACGGGACCCGTTCACGTTTTAATTCGATCTAAATTGATTAAGCATAAAATGAATTGGTCAGAAGAGCAGTTGTTTTTGAAGTTGCTTCAGAGCGAAACGGTAACTTGGGACCCTTTTTTTGCATCCAATAAACGCACATAGTTAAAATACGCAACAGTACACAAAGTACAGCAGTTGCCACTTGTACGTCCTCCATCTCGCCTAGCGTGTGAGCGACTACCGTGCCCTATATAGTACATTATCTATGGACTACCAAGTACCGACTATATCCTCACGAATTTGAGCGAATGGAGTGTGTACAGAGGCTCCTCGTACCTCGGCTGACCTCGGCGAACTTCGTGCGAGGAACTTCGTGAGTAGTGTACTGTAGCCTTAACAAATCATTGCCATTTACTTCTTTTTAAACTTGCCCCACGCTGCCACACACTACCATAGATAAATAAATTATGTAGCAAGCTACACACTACCCTGAATCAGGGCCTTGAATGAAGGGTGGGCGTGGCCCCTAATTAGGGAAGTCAGTTATTACCCTACCCTGATTTTACGCCCTTACTCAGTCATAGGGATGGACAAGTGAAAAAAGTATATATTTGTTGAATCGATATTTTGAAAGTAGTTGTAACAAATCATTTATTGTGTTCGTCCTGCTAACTCTAGTTGCGTAACACGAGTTTAGTTCGAGTTGTATGAATTTCAACTCGAGTTAATCGAGTCGTAATTTTTCCCAGTAAGCACGTCTATAGGATGCAACATAGCTTATTAAAAACATCGAAGCTTATGTACGATATATCGATTGGATGTTTTTATCACCATTTAAATATATACATACATATGGAATAAATAATGATTTTGAACAGAAATGAAACAAAGTAGTATAATAATCAAACATTATATTTATTTTATTTTGGGAAGTGTTGGACTATTTATTTTTACACATTTTATTTTATCGAATAATTATCAAAAAATAAGATCTAATTAAATATATTTTTTTACTTTTACTTTTATTTCTTTCGAATTGAATTTTAAAGTAACAATTCTGACAACCTGGCGCCTAGTAAGGTAATTGTCTCCTGTGCAATTGTAGATCCATGTAATTAAGCTATTCATTAAGTTTAATTTCAAACAATATAAATATTAATAAGAAAATAAATAAAACAATTTCAATCCATTTTCAATATTTGCAAACTTATCTTAATTATTTGTCACAATAAAAATAACTACAATTTTACATCGAAAATGAATTTACCGATTGATAACAATCGCACTTCTGAAGTTCAATTATATTTATTTTCGGCTGAAAGACCATTCGCCTGTTTGTTGATTCGTAATTAAAATTTTCGGGATTGAGTTATTTCTGCTAAATACTCGTAAACCTTCTAACTTATACGATATATCGATGTTTGATAGAATTGATGTATCGTTTGCATCCCTAGTCGCGCATCGAATAAGTACCCTAACTCCCTTAGTGTTATTACATAAGCAAGGCAAGGGCTCTATTGACCGGGTTCACTCTGACGCCCTAACGCCCTAATTAGGGACCCTTACTCCCTTTCTCTTATTACACCACCCTGAATCAGGGCGTAGGGACCTTGATTCAGGGTAGTGAAATAGGGGTATAAAACCTAACGGTCGATTTGTTTCGGACCTTCACTCAAATCGCCTCATTCGTGAGAAGCTGCCTATGCAGCCCTTCTTCACACTCGCTATAGTGTGCGCAGACCGAGAAACTCTCTCTCGGACCCCCCCCAACAAACTTTCGGCTGATCTGAACTGCCTCCTGGTGGCTCAGGCCGAGCCTACTTAACACATCCCTTAATCTGCCTTAGTTAGGCACACTTCTGAACGGCTTTTCGCCGCTTGCCCTCCTTTCTGCCAAGGAGGGTCGCGTCCGTTTACGGCTTAAAGATATCTCGTGAGATCGGTAAGCCAATCTCTAAAGGCGGTGTTTAGTGGGTAAAATTCTCCACATAATATGTGGCAGCTTTCCGGAGGGTTGCCCTTATTGCTTCGGGTGCAAAAAAAAATTGTTTCGGATTTGTATAGCAAAATAGGCTGCTCGCCTCGATTCCATACAATATGCAGATCGGTCGAGCGACTGATCTGAGTCTGCGTCCGAGTTGTCTGTTTCTCTGCACTCACCATATTATTATCAATGCTATACTCGCTATTTAAATTAAAAAATAGTGCGCATGCGCCAAACGCCAATTGGCGCCTAACGCCAATTGGCGACAATCCAGATCCAATACAGTGACTTTCCTTATATATTTACTATACTCTTTGCCAGTTATTGTCCAAAGCTAATGACAGATAATTTCACAGACAGTGTACATTTATTTAAAAATAACTTTATCCTTTTTAAAATTTAGTACTTTTCTTTAAATTTTGATTATCACACAATTCAAGTTTCTAATTACTTCGTTTAATCTTTGTTTGTTATTGTTTACAAGTTATAAACAAAAAAAAACTTCCAAAATTATCTCAAGTATGTAGGTAACTATTCTAAGAAAATAATTGCTCCGTTCCATTAAAAGTTGAGCTCTTCGTAAGCGAGTTTTTCAAATTTTAAAATGTTTCGGAGTAGAAACATATACAAAGCTGGTTGTTGGGCAGCGATACACTTTCACCCCGCTGCCTTGAATTTAAGTCCACTTGCGCGAACTCCAATCGATGACATTCAGTTTTTTGCCGCAGTGAGGGTCGGGTTTACGACTTTATCTACAAGGAAAATGGTAAATAGGGATTTCATTTAAGTATATACTTAGTTAATTACATGTTTTGTCGTAATTCATGCAGTCTCAAGTGAAACATGGTCAACTAAATAATAATCATAATATTACGACACCTGTTGCTTTCAAAATTTTAAATAATAAATATTTGATTTTATGTTGAAATCCATTTCAGACGTAATATTTTTTTTTTACTTTTCTATCAGTATTTAATCATTATTTTAGATTTGGTATATTTGAATTTTATTAGGTTGATAAACTAAGTTCTGAAGAGCGTAATGAGCTGCTACAGCCACTAATTCAAGCAGGATGGAAGGTTCAAAGCAACCGTGATGCAATTGAAAAGGAATTCAAATTTAAAGATTTCAATGAAGCATTTGGATTTATGACAAGAGTGGCATTGTTAGCTGATAAAATGGACCACCATCCAGAATGGTTTAATGTATACAACAAAGTACAGGTAGGTATAATTTCTTCAATGCATTAAATTAAAGTACAGTTTGTAATAACCATGCTACAGGTTTATTTCTTGTTGCGAAACAAGAAAAGTTTGTGAGTAAATCAGTAAACATTGTTATAACTTCTTACAAGCTTATAAACAAGATTCATATAAATTATTACTTAGATAGGTTTGACATAAAATATATAATGTATTACAGTATACACACACAGTGAAAAGTTTGGCTTAACTTTAGAAATGGTAACTAAATATTGGGTTCTTGTTTTCTTGATAGAAAAAGTGAGTAAAGATGAAGATGTATCAAATACCAAAACATCAAAATGAAGAAACATATATTTTTTTGAAATATTACTTCAAAATTACTAAATGTTATAAAAAACTGCACTATGTAACTAAAAATAATGACGAATGTGAAAAGATGAAGTTTTCATTTTACCAATTTAAAGTCGTAGCACTGGCATCAATAAAATTATTAAGTGCAATTTTAAATGCCATATGCTCAGTGTAAGTATGTATGTTTTTTATTTATGGGATAAGGGTGACAAGCACACAGTCCACCTGAAGGTATATGGATGCTGTGGCCCATCATCAAAATGCAGATGCATTGTCACCCTTGAGGACTAATATGGACTGCTTCGATTTCAGTAAAACAGGATACCAGTTCTCTACACTCACTATATGAAACACAGCAACATTATGCTGCCATTTCACATTGGTATTCTGTAAGAGCGTGGTCTTTCCCCGCTAGCGCCGACCCATTCATGCTACAACCATAATATAGCTGCAGTGTAGCTCTGCCATGTATAAAAAAAATCAAAAAATGTATTTGAAAGTAAAGTGAAATTTGCCAACATGCATTAGGAGACAGTGGGAGCAGAAATTCTCTCGCCCCTAAACTGTAAATTTACTTTTTAATTTACGTCACAATTTAGTATGCTAGTTATATACATATATGGCTTGGTTTATCATTTATTAATATTTTTGGCAGGTAACATTGTCTTCCCATGATGTTAATGGTCTCAGTAAGAGAGATGTTCGAATGGCTGCATTTATGGATCTACTCATTAAATGAAGAGACTGAAGTTAAAGATATAAAAATAAATAATGCAAATAATATTGTCATATTTCTGAATGAATATGTTTTTTAAAGCTTATTATATAGTGTATAAAATGATAGCAAATTTGATCAATGTTTAATGATTAGCATATGACCAAATTTGGACTTGCATTGATTATCATTACTGTTTGTGATAACATAAATTTATACTATTCATTTTATAATTTAAGTAAAACACTGCTAACACACTGCTAGGGTTATAAGGCCTAGTTAATGAGGGTAATTGGGTGTACACTTAACTTATTATGGTGCCACCATACAATCACAGATTTTTATATCAGTCTAATTCAGATCAAATTTTTAAAATAAATTTTTAAACATGTGTTTTTGTATTTTTTTTCAATGTACTTTCATAAAATCATAATAGTATTTAAGAATAAATAACTTAAGACTAAGATTGGTAAAGGGCGTCAGGTCAATGAACTTTGATCTTGGTCCTAAAATCTATGTGAGACTTGACACTGTTACATCATTTTGTTTATTAAGAAGTGACACTGTCAGCTATAGGATTAAATAATCTTATCTTGTGTAGAAAATACAGAGTCCCTCACTATTACTGTTACTATTGGATAAATTTTAAGATTTTTCTATTTACTTGCAGTAAAGAAAGATAAGTTCTCAAAACGATTTATTTGACAAAAAGTAATTTTGTACTTTTACAAGTATTCTTACAATCGAATGCAGAATATCCAAATTTGAAATAAGAGAAAATCATCACTGATGATTCTAAGACATTTAGTTTAGTTAGTTTAGTTTACAACTCCACATCTAAGCGCGTATTTTGCCTGTGGGCAGGAATAATGTGATTATTCGAGCCATGAAATCTACCCGAAGAAGTTCAACAGTCCTTTGATGTTGGAAGCAATTTTGGGGAGCGATCGCGGTGTGCTGAGATGTTTAGCCCTGTATGAATCACAGAGGGCTATCTGTAACACCTATGGTAAACAAATGTTTCTTAAAAGAGCCATGTTCTGTGATAGCACTTATTACTATCCTGATCTGTGGCTTGTTCAGTCTTATTAGAACCTTGGTTAAGCAACTTTTTATTTCAGTCAGAGCTCTAGCTTGTCCACAGTCTACTAAATTTTTCCAAAGTTGAGCATGTAAATTATTGAAGTTTCTACATACCAGTGAACAAACGTAGCTAAAGAGGATTGGTATTATTAGTTCCGGACCTATAGTGGCCAGAGCCGATTTCCTTCTGGCTAGTTCATCTGCTGCATCATTGCCTCTAGATCCACTGTGTCCCTTAATTCATTCAGTCACAATGTTGTGCTTACATACCTCTTTTAATTGTTGATGGCATTCATATATTAGTCGTGAGTTCGCCACATTACAACTCAGAGCTTGTAGTACCGCCATACTGTCGGTCAGTATTCTGATGGAAAAGTCTTTTACCTTCCTAGCATCTATTGCTATGGCCGCTTGGATGATATCCATACATACAGCCTGGAAGACTGTGTTATGGGTACCCAGCGGTGTGCATATTTAATATTAAGAATAGAACCATCCATGAAAACTAAACTCTTTTGGGTTAGATCCCTCCTGGCTGGTCAGTTTCATTTCATTTTATCTTATACTTCTTACCAAATACACATTGTTTTGGAATTCTATCGTACTTGGCTTGTAAGATAGGAATTTATGAGTATGATTCATCAATTACACCTATATGGGGGGGCTCTACTCTTACTTAAAAGATTTAGGGATCTCGAGTCTAATGGCAGCTAAAGTTGCTTCTTGTCGTATATGTAGACGAAACGGTGTTAGCTCCAGTATAGCCTCTAAAGCTGCTGTTGATGTAGTGCTTGTGCAGCCCGTGGCAGCCATACATGGCAATCTCTGGTAAAGCTGAAGCTTTCTTATAGTGGTGGCTTCGTTAGTTTTGATCCACCATACCAGAGAGCCGTATGTGATCATGGGCCGAATTACAGGTTTGCACAGCCACAGCATAATTTTTATTCTTAACAGTTTTATTTTTGGCGTCAAACCCCATCGTCTACCAATCATGCTTCTGCATTGCCAGAAATTTATACTAGCTTTGTTGATTTTGTTTTCTATGTGTTTATTTCATTTAAGTTTACTGTCCAAGGTAAGACCTAAGTATTTTACCTCAGTATCCTCCGGCTTGAGTTTTGTGCCGAAAAGACTTGGGAGATGATTGTTATTCAGCATTCGTTTTTGTGTGAACATTACTAGAACCGTTTTGTTTGGATTAACAGTTAGGTCATATTCCCTGCACCATTTCTCCACAATATGGAGAGCCGCTTGGGTCAGGTCGCACACAATGTTTGCTGTCTTTCCAGAGACCAGTATTGTCAGATCATCTGCATAACCGACTGTGTAGAAATGATAAGCATTTAATTTGCTGATGCGTTCATTAATGACCATATTCCACAGGAGAGGTGAAAGAACCCCACCCTGCGGGCATCCTTTCATGATTTACATTCCTCTGAATACTCCCTGTGGCGTGTGCGGTAGAAATTGCAAGAGATGCAACGTCTGTTCGCAAGATCAGTGGATCAATCCGATCGGAAAGAACTTGGTTGTGTTGATTCAGGCCTCAGAGCTCAGAGCTGATATTGGGGTGGCTTGGTCCAGGCCGAATCTGCGCTTTGTAAAGCTGCAAGCGGTAGGCTCGCATGAAATACCATCTCGATCTATTGAGCACAACAAACTTTCTTGATGCCAGTTTAGCTTTCCCTTCTAAGTAACTTCAGTACTATAAGTCTGAAATATCGACGACAAAGATTTCGATGCTGGCTGAGGCAACAAGGCGAGTGGAATAAAATTGAGGAGATGCGACAAAGTGGTTATTTTTTTGCGGTTAAAGCGCAAACCTGTGTCTTTTGGAGGTGGCAACATGTGATAGGGACGTGCCTTGTCGATCTTCTATTTCTGTCGAGATTTTATTTGTTCACTCAACACGAACAGGTCAGCACTTGTTGCTCAGAAATATTCAGCACAGTTTATGGACTTGGGCAATCGAAAATTTTGGGAGTGAAGCTGCAGATGTCGCTTGCTGATGAATAAAAGTTTATAGAAAAAAAAAACCTGTCAGGTTTAAATCTGTAATTCTCGTAAAAAAATTACTTTCGAAACGTATAAAATATGTTTCAATGTAAATGTTATTGTACGTAGCAAATAACTTCGCCTTTTATAATGATATAAATAAAATACATAGTTAATTGTTTAGTTAGATATTGCAAATATGCTATTTCTTCACGTAACATGGACACATGCGCTTATCATTGAAAGGTTCTGTTTCAAATACTGTTGTTGTTGGATAAGCCTTTTCAATCATCCTTTTGAGCTCTAAGGCATGTTCTAGGCCCCTTGTTTCACAAACAATTTTCATCTGTAAAACATATATTAATTTAAAGTAGTTACTAATATATTCTTAAGACATGAAACACAATGTCAACATACTTTATAAAGATATAGTAAAATACCTATATCATATTACATCTGAGTCATTTTTGAAATATGATACTTTTGTTGCAAATGTCAAGCCTTGTACGGAATAAGCCGCTAAGCGTTCCTATGTACACTTAGTCGGTTGCGCGTATAAGAAACGCTTAGTCTGTAACTGCAGGAACGCGTGTACAATTTAAGCACGCGTGTCGACTAGCGGCGAGTCGTGGCTCGTCACCAGTAGGCTTTTGGTTGCACAATCAAAAGTGCCGCAGTGATTGGTGCACACGACAACTGTGTTTCGTTTCAGGTATATAAAAAGTACTCTGTGGTTTCGAGACATGGCGGATACTGGCTGGCCGACTAGCGACTTGTCACCACGCGTTCATAATCCCGCAATCCATAAAGGTGCCCTCCATTATTAAAGGTGTACGTGTATCCACCTGTACGCGTATTCAACCATACCTAGATTACGAGTACATTGGAAAGCTTAGTCCGTAAAAGGCTCCATGCATATGCTATGGTAATGTGTCAAATATTGATCGTCAGTAACTGTTATCCATAGCGGCGATTAAATTCCCGCCATTTTTCGCCATTAAAAAAAATATCGGTGTTTTCCCTGCTCGACCCAAGTGTTTTTAGTGATTATATTGAGAGTGAATTATGCCAACTATTATGCTACCTTAAAATCTTTCGACTTTTATTCCTTCCAGCATAACCAGAATATGTAATTGTTGTTTGTGATATCATTGGATATTGGGAAAATAAGAGTTCACAATTATCCAAAAATATATTTTTTCAATGATATTTTGTTGACAAAGAAAATATTAGGGAAACATCGGGGAATCGTAGAATGCATGCTAATCAATATGAGCTTAAGTCCATCAAGGAGGATATGAATTAGTTTTAAATACGTTTTTAGTTTTACCTAGTTAATTTTAGATTTTAGTTTTTACCTCAACCCAGTGTATTTCTTTATCAACCCAAACATGGTCCATGAATTGGCGTATCATGTTGTATCCACCGCTAGCGAGAAGCTTGTAGAGCTGAGCTATTGCTACTGAATCAGCTTTGACGCCGACCTGAGCACACAAAAAGTCGTAATAGGTTTTTGGTTTATCAATACCTTGAACTCGATCGAACATCTTTAGACCTCAAAATAGCGTTCATTATAATTTAAAATATATAAGTAATACTTTTTTCTCTTTTCTTCTTTTTTTTATTTCTAACTTGTAATTTTGTACCGTGTACAATCATACTGATTTCTATTCACGTGGAAAACCGACAAGTATTTATACTAATAAATACCTCATAAATATTAACGCTGTCGACATTGTCAACGAGAATAAAGTACAATAGATACAGTTATTAGAATATTTTCAACCTTGAGTTAAAAAGGTAGCTTAAATCAAGCCGGTCTGTATAGTTTTCAAGAAACCAAAAAAAAAGTACATGCTTAAAAATTTAATAAGGATACAATAATTTGTTTCGATTTTTAAAGTTCACATATTTATTTTTGATTCTTCTTATGGCTCAATCTTTAGATTAGATATTGACTGCAGGAGGTTGGTGTTGGTGCAGAGTCGGTACTATCCTACTTTGTAGGACTTGGCTTCAACAAGAGACTCGTTCGTTATTTAACTGGGTGCGGAGGTGAAGAGTAAGAAGCAAGAGATAAGCTGATATATTCTCCGTTGTAACCTTTCTTTTTCTATTTTTATATCTATTAAAATCTTGATGTTGAAAACAACAAAAATAAATTAGTTACTAGTATAGTAGAACTGGGGGTTCTCCATCACTTCACCTCGCAGCGCGCGGTTCGTGCTGCAGAAGCCGCCAATTCTACCCGCCTATTACCCGATATGACGGCTCGAACTGCAGAATCCCATAATATTGCTTACCGAACGATGCTCTGCTTCTTAATCTAACAGACAGACCGATCCAAATTTATAGCCCTAAATGCCATTAAAATAACAGTCAGTCGGTCCAATTTATTAATAAGTTCCTAATCAATTGGTACCAAGTTAGATAATATCTATATTAATAGGTATCACGTTAGGTACTCAATTAAAATGTAATAATTGACATTTATGTATTTGAACAAATAACTACAAATTAACCGATATGACGGCTCGAACTGCAGAATCCTATTTTATATATTATTATTGTTTACAGAGCGATGCTACCCTTGACAGCTAATACACGAAAATTACAATTATTGATTGTGAATCGGATAAAAAATAAGAGCAAAACCTTCGCGCATTATGGGAACTTTACCACAGTATCCAAGTAAAAGATATCACTTGATACTGTGGTAAAGTGGCATTTGATATTTCGTTGTGACATCTCCCCAACGCTTAGGTTGATGTGATATTTATTATTTGGCACTTGGTTGGCTATATGGTTTGTAGTTAACCCATGCGATTATATCTTAAGTTGCCCATCCCTACGAGTAATCACAACTAGAAAAAATACGTGCATGGTTGACAATGGAACAAGTATGAGAGTGAATTCAACCAAAGCATCTCACACACGATCGGTCTAACAGAAATTTAGCTTACAATCAATAAGTACCAATAGAGTGAATAGTGAATACTCTTAATCCATTTTATACTGAACATCATAAGTTTTAAGCCTGAATCCATATTGTCATGACCTCTGACAATATAACATTGCTTGAAATTCAATTTTATTTGGTTTGTCTAAAGTATGCCTTTAATATCAATAGAAACAAATATAGGCAACATCATAGCTTATTTGTATAGCATATCTCAACTTTATAGAATTTGGTCTCAAATGGCGCGACTATGCATAGGCAGGCAATATGCATTAGGCAGCACATATACTAAAGTTGAAAAATGAAATATCAAATGTGAATAATAGGCTCTACGTACTGTAATTATAAAGTCTGTGCAGCCTGGACTAACAATTATTGAAAATGAGTTTATAATTTGGGTGAATAAATTATAGTTCATCAGTGCTCAACGTTTTGTTGTAATCCTTTTAATCTCGCAGTGAAAAGTGCAAATAAATTATTAGTGAATTTTTAGTGTCAGTGGAAGCCGGATTAACAAGAAGTATGTGTTTTTGCAAGTTTTTATTACTATTATTTTATCTTGTTTTTATGATTTTTTTAGAAAGAGGATTTTTTTAGGTTCAATTCCCAGCCTGGTTAATATAAAAACTTGTTTAATTGTTATTGTATGAATTTTTATCAAAAATTTCGAAGACCCGCCAGCTGAAACCCAAGAAGAAGGCAGTAGCGGCTAAACCAACCGTACAAAGCCTCTTTGGAAGCGAATGCAAATGTGATCTCGATGATAAACCACTCGTACCGTCCCAGAAACGAAAATTCTGGGCACTGGTTGACTCAGAGGTACTTTTTAAAACTTTATTTATTTATTGTTTGTTTTTTAAATTTTAATGCGCCAAACTGCATATCAGTTTATTTAGATGTTATTACATTGATCAAAATAATAACTTCAATGTTTATTGGTAAAAGTAAAAAAATATAATCCATATAATATTTAAAAAAATATATAATGATGACTGATAATTTATATTTTACAGGACGACGAAGATTTTGAAGTTGACAGGCCTGTTGGTCTATAGTGGTTAGTGACCCTGACTGCTATGCCGGAGGTCGTGGGTTCGATTCTCAACCCAGGACAAATGTTTGTGTGATGGGCGCGATCATTTGTTCTGTGTCTGGGTGTAATTTGTCTATAATATTTTTGTATTTAGAAATATATAAGTATGTTTATCAGTTGTCTAGTACCCATAACACAAGCTCTGCTTAGCTTGGGACTAGACGGCGTTGTGTGATAGTTGTGGAATATTATTATTATTATTATTTACATCGTACCCCGTACGTGCAGCTCCGTTCCGCAGCTACTACTTGCAGCGCATGCGATTCGGTTATACCCTGCAGTCGGACCCTACAAGACACGGTGACTTCTACGTCGAGTTACGGGGTATAACACGAAGTAAATCGAGTCCTTGAAAAAGGAGCGATGGAAAAGGGCCTTGGTCACAATACGCTCCGCTATTACGGAGGGCTCGAATATCTGGAAAGCCGGCGCATTGTCTCGAGAACCAAACGTGAGTAAGTTTAGCCCGATAATTCTAGTGAAAGATGGTGAAACATTAATGGCAAAATTCCAGGACATACATACAAGTGAAGTTAAATAAAAGCTTTTAAAAAGAAATCTCAAGTCATTACTAAGTGCAACGTTAAACTATACAGACGTGAAAAAATAACAAAAAGCAATAAGGTATTTCTTCAAACTCTGAGATTTAAAATAAGTATAAGTATTTTAAAAATATCAGATTATCTGTATTTCGATAATTCTATAGAAAGTTATGAAACGCATACGTACAATTCTTACAATCATAGTTTTAATTAAAATGATGAAATAAGAATACCAATTCATCAACATGATCTAATAACTACCTTCAGCAAGTGCAATATACATCGATGGAAAATTGTGTGTACAAGCTAAAGAACCCGCAGGGGTAATCAAACAAAACAAGTTCATGTAACTAATAATGACATTTTTTATATTTCAAGATATTAGATATGAAATATAGACCGTGTGAGAAATGTTGGAGTAACAACAACAATGAAATCTTTAGTATAGTATAGTGGAGAAAATAAAGCAGCAGCTGTATGGGGTTGGAACGCAAACGGATTTCATAATCATGGCGGTAGTTTTTGTGTCTTACTACCGTTAAACAAGCTATTAGGCTTCGCAGAAGGTGATAGAAAAATATTTATAAATTGTAAACTTGAACTAATATTTAATTTTAAAATATATTTTATGTTTAATATCAATCTATTATATGTACATTAAAGTAAATTACAGCAATTATTATATACCTACGTAACATGAAATAAAAATAATTAAAATTATAATATTTACAATTAATACCATAAAAAATAATTATACACAACATAAAAAAAGAAACTATAATACAGAAAAACTAACACTAAAAATTTATTTAGTCAAAAAGTCCTGCTCCCCGTGCCAAGAACGCTAGCTGCGTTTCCTCGCTGAATAGCTATACTTAGCCTTTGACCGAGGAAAGAATCAGCCCTCTTATCACCAGCAGCGACGACCAGCCTTGGATACAGTTCCTTTAGAAACTTCACTGCACGTGGACCCCACGGACCGATAGTCTCTACAGCAAATGGCACAAATATGTAGTAATTTCTCAAAGACTCATATTTGCACCATTTACTAAATTCGGCTGCCTCTGATGCCGCCCCGGCTCTAAAAGAGGTACCCTTGAGATGAAAGGCCGCCAAAGTGTCAACGCAAGTAGCATCCCGCACTAGGGCTTTACCTCTCTCCCAAGGGGCCAAAGTCATACTCTTGCTTGCTACGTCTCTTGCCATCGTCTCTAAATATCCCGCACGGCTCTAAAACCGAGGGGATATTTATGGAGACAAGAGCCCTTCGGATGACTTCGTTAAAAGAATAGAATATTTAATAGAACTAGTACAAATTTAAGCAGTATTTTTGCCTAAAAAAGATGACTCTGTCGGAGTAAGTTTACAAAAGTGCAATGACGTGTACGTATGACGTGGCTTCAATATATCTGACCAGCAAAAGCTAACTTTAATAAAACATCTAACTTGGTACCCATTCATTAGGTCTTATTAATAAATCGAACCGACTGATTGATATTTTAATGGCATTCAGGGCTTTTTTGGATCGGCTTGTCCGTCAGATTAAGAATATCGTTCAATAAACAATGTTGTAGGATTTTGCAATTCGAGCCGACATATCGGGTAGGGCTCCCCAATTCCATCCTACTGTTATTCCTAAAAACTAATTATTTCGATTTCAGTAACATGAGTTGAAATATCAAAATAAAAAATAAAATAAATGAGCTACATAATATTGTCACGTTCTTACAGACTAGAAAGTGATCGTTATATTATTAACCCGGAAATTGATTTATCTAAATTAACGGCATTGTATATTTTTTTTTTTTTTAAAAACATCACCTCCAGAATTTTCTTCTAAATTTTGAAGACAGTTTATATACATGAATTGCGCAAAGACAAACATCCAGACCCGGAACAATTAGTTGTGGGCCCTACAAATGCTTGTTCCGTTCTGGTTTCAAGCCCAAAGAT